CTAAGTGCGATAATGAACATTTTCTGCTCCGGTAAGCAGAGCGATAAGCAATTTGATTGCTCGAAACTTTGGAACACAATAACTCCTCTTCTAATTGAGCAACAATGTTCACACTTGGTGTAGGTGTTGAATGCCTTGATGGAGTTCGAAGATGAGAATTTTCTGCTAAGGGTAAGCAGAGATGAGCAATTTGATTGGTTGATGCTTTGGGACATGATAACTTTAGTTTTAATTAAGTGAGAGTGATGGAACTTGGTGTATAGTTTCATCACATCAATACCTTGACTAAGTTTGATAATGAACATTTTCTGCTGAGGGTAAACAGAGTGATAAACAACAGGATTGGTCAAGACTTTGAAACACAGTAACTCTCCCTCTAATTGAGGTAGAATGTTCAAACGTGGTATAGGTGTTCATTAGGTGAAAGTCTTGATGGAGTTAGATGATGAAAAAGCAATTTGATTGGTTGATGCTTTTGGGCACGAAAACTTTGGTTATAATTAGGTGAGAGCTATGAAACTCCGAGTATAGATTCATTATATCATTACCTTGACTAAGTAAGTAAGTTTGATGAGAATTTTCTGCTTAGGCTAAGAAGCGATAACCAATTTGATTGGTCAAGACTTTGAGGTAGAATGTTTAAACTTGATGTTCATGTGAATGTCTTGACTGAGTTATGGATTAACATTTCCCACTAAAGCTAAGCAGAGCTAAGCAATTTCTTTAACTTTGATTCTGTCTGATAGAGAGTGATGAAACTTAGTGCATAGTTGATAATCAGGGTGATTGCTCGATACTTTTGGAAAAGAAAAACTTGCAATTACTTAATATGTATCATCTATTTTTTTCGGCGGGGGACATCAGCCTCACTGTTTGCTTGTTTAGAATACAAAGTACTAAATGATAAATTATCAAAAAATATTTTATATTGGAGTTATTTAAAAAGGAATGGAAGCTTATTATGTGATTTCTGGCTAGTTTGTTTTAAAATGTACTTAAATCTCTAGATTAAACTGAGTTGCCAGACTTCATATTGTTTTCAACTTTGAAGAATTTGGGTAAAAAGGTTGTTGAATTTTAATGTCTAATGGCAATTTTCCAAAAATATCACTCCAAAAATACCAATCTTCACCTATCTTGGTATCCTTTAAAAATCACTAAAGAAATAAAGCCTGTTTTTTTTTCAGTTGGTCTGAAATTACCATTCTAAGTATCATATTATTAACTTTTTAAAGTCTACAATTAAGTGAGTTAAAATTGACTGATACCAAATACCCTTGTAGAATCTTAAGTTTGTTAACAGAAGACCCACTAATAAAAGCGTGAAGATTTAATTAAAATTTAAGTAGGTCAACTTTTCCTCAGATCATTTATTTTCTGTATGTTTTTTTAACATCATTTGGAAGATAGTTAACGGTCAGAAATTGTTAACAGACAGCCATTTTAAATTAACAACTGAAAATTGATACCTGAAAAAATGTCAATCTAAAGTTTGTTTTCTTTATGGAATGTAAGATTAATGTCTTTTTTACACCAATTGACATGTCATTACATCTCAATATTAATAAGTTATTAAGATCAGATTTGTTTTTATGATATTCCAAAACTTCAAAGGGAAAATGAAATTGAAATATAAGTAGATATAATCAAAAGAAATTTTTATGTGTTTATTCAGTCAAAAATACACATAAATATCCAAAGTGGTCACATTAACCTAACGTTCTTGTGATATTGATGCAAAATATACACTTTTATAGACAAAATAATGGCAAACATTAAAAGTTCCAAGTGAAATAAATTATGTTATTTTTCATTTTAAGATGTACTACCAGTATTTACATGTACTTGGATAATTTTATGAAATGTTTAATCTTATAGATGTAGAGGGCTCTCACTTTTGCTCGCCAGGGTAAGAATTTGTGAAATAAAATAAATGAAAATGACGATTAAAATTTGATTCTGGTGACAACTTTTGGGGTTCTGCCAAGGATTGAAGTGTCAATCACGTGGCGGCAAGATTAAAATTAATCAACTAGCTGATATTCTGGAAAGTGTCAACGATTAATACTAATCATTTGTCCAGGATTAATGGTTTTAGTTGATTTATAATTGCCAATGATAAAGCCTATCTCAAGTTATTATTTACACATAATAATTAATCCATTTGATGTCTGATATCTCTTAAAAATAAAGAGAAATAATCAAAATGTCCGACAATTTTTGCAAAAAGAACTAAATATTTTGATAATTTAATTTCATTCACTGTGGCTTCATACAACGCCTAAAATATACAAGCCAGCCTAATTGGAAGTGGGTCGCAAACATAAGAATCAGTCGAATTATCACAATTCTTGAGTAATAAAACCGGTGTGCTATTTTTTCATTGCTGCCAAAATGTTCTAAATTGAACTTTTCTATCAGCGATTCATATTGTAATACCGTCGGTACCTGAAAATAACAATATGCCTATTGTACATGTACATGCAAAACGTAAATTTAAAGAAAACTGTAAATTTGGCAATCCTTGGATGAGATTTGATGTGTGTAAACACTGCAGTTAAATTCTTCAGTATGGTATGTGAAAGACTAAAGTCACCAAAATAGTCAACAAAAATAAACGTCTCAAAACTGAGCTAATGTAAAGCAAAAAAAAAATTTGTAAGTTGTGGTATCCTATTGTATGTAATTGTTTTATAATACCTGAGAAATATAATTGTTATGTTTATTTTTTTTATCATACATTTTTGGCAGATAAATATTTCAGTTGGCAGAAAAAACAAAATATAAACATTTTTGTATATAAAAATTATGATCGATTTTGGCGGAAACAAACTAAAAGCCAGTGTGAGCCCTGTAGATGTACATCTGTAGGTAGGCCTACTTATAGTTAGTAATAGATATAGAGACATTGTCATACAACAGTCAGAGAGTATCATGATCCAATCATTGTCCATTGTTTTATGTTTGTTTATCCTCCTCTCTGTCCAGTTTCTGATTTCCTAACTCTAAATATCTTCTAACAGTAAAAGGACAACCATGTGCTACCAATGACATCCAAATGTTATTTTTCTGATTCTTTCAAGATAACATGGGGTCATATGACAGTATAACTATGATACCAAGGTGAAGGGCCAATGAAGATCAGATGCTTCATTGGGATTAGGAGCAAGAGAGGTCAGGTTCTAAGGTGATTTTATTAGGGAGGTTAACTCATGCAGATGTGAATTGAGGAAAGGGTTCCTGTCTTCAGAGAAGGTTAATGGTTCATTTTGGACCATAAATATAAATAAGGAACCAGTTTTTAGTGTAATCCAATGAACTAATTTTACACTGACATTTATGTCTACCTAGCATTTACTCAATCTGTTAAGTGTAAAATTTGAGATGGTGACTTCATCATCAAATTACCACTCATGTATCACACGTGTTTAACATTTCTACATTTGTAGGGGAAATGTAACTTTTTATGTACCAATTCACTGCACTTAATATCACTTTTTCCTATCTATTGCTATAAAGTTAAATCTACCAGAATGAATGGTCAGTTTGGGGTCATTATCCTTTTGTCATCAACTATTTAAGTCTCAAGTGAAATCTACCAAAATAATTGATGTAGTTTGTCTTTCCTTATATCATATGTTGTCATCATTATATACCCATTTGATGAGATGACCATATTCAGTTTGTATTATACTGGGAAGCCTGTTATCTCATATTGACTCTGGAAAGATTTTGGTCACTTTGCTACTGACTTTAGTGTAGAGCTTCTACAGCCAATAGAAGTTTTTCAGTTCAAGTAGATAAAATTGAGTGTCATGCATCTACAGAAGTAAATACAGGACATTAAGAAACAAAATCGTTGTGTACGGAGTCAACAGGTTATAGAGATCAAAAGAATTTATATCAAAATCTGAAATGTATAGCAGTGTATCTGTATGTGTAACTAGTGTGAGAATGTTGAAATAAAAAAAGTAAGGTGGGGAGAAAAAGCTTACAACAAGCGTCATATTTCAGTTTATCAAAATCCCTCTAGATTTCTTCAGGCTATGTTAATCTTGGTGAATAAAGGTCTAGCAACATGAGGTTGTCAGGCTACTACCAGTAGTTTAACTTAAGAAACATCCTCACTCAATAATACATTGAAAGATATTCTATGAAGATGTGAGTATAAGAGAAGTGAGAACATGCGACTATCAGATGGCCATTAATAAAGTGTTTATAAGATGTCAAGATATTGATAAGATCTGTAGTTAGAAGATTCTATCAAATTCTCAGCTATATTAAAGGAGAAACCTCGCTCTTGCAGGTTCTTTAAAAAAAACATCTAGTATAAATCATTTTCGTCCTTTATAGTTAACCAATTGACAAATGCCAAATGACATTATTAGGGTAACTGTCATCTCCACTGTAAACAGTCTTCAGATCTTAGTGTATTCACCCAATGTCACATTTTTACAGATTAGCTATTATGGTACCAGCACATGCTTTCATTTCTAAGCAGTGACATAGTAATAATATAATAATCAACCAAAATTATTAGTTGAGAGGCTAATAAATCTGTTGATAATATAAAACAATAATTTCTTTATGTCAAGATTACAAGAAGCCAGGCATTTAAATTGACAACCTTAAGGTTGTATTAATTACTTCTCTTATTATAATACATTTTTCTTCCATATGATAATTTATAGCAATGAAATGTAGAACATCAAATTTTAACAGAAAATTGTAACTATTTGAAAAAATTAATCACCTTATCATTACCATGTGCAATAATGTTCACAACTTACACCAAATGGAAGCGAAATTTAACTTTGTGGACACTGGCCACTGGCAGTCACCAGCCAACATTTTAAATACAATAGTACAACAAGAATAAAATTATAGTTGTTGAATTTGCCAAGTGGTGTCATGTATTCTAGAAATAGTATACTCAACACTACTTGGAGTGATAGTTTAGTTGATTGTACATAAAAAATGAGACAACAGAAAAAAATAAGTGGTTAAAAAGGTTTTATTTGTAATAAGTTATGAAGTTTTGTCTTCTCTGGATTGTCATAATGAAATATTTTTGAGAATAATGTTTTTTTAGATCAATGATAAAACACAAAAAAATGACAAGTTTATTGTTTTTAATAATAAAGCTGGCACCACAAGTAAAAAGACTTGTACTATATGGCAGCCCACTATTGAGTATTTGGTTTCACACTGCTATCTTATCATTCAATCACATCAATAAATGAAGATGTCTTGAAATTATCGTTTCATCTCATCTCAGAACTCTTGTATAATGGAAGAAAATTGAAAACAAGCTGTGAAACAAAAGAGCTGCAAAGAAAAAAAAATATAATGTATATTGTAGAAAATTTTGGTGCAGGCACAATCTATATATATATTTGTGACTGTCGTTTGTCTGTCTGTCTGTCTGTCTGTCTGTTCGGGGTTGGCGGCTACACTAGGTCTACCCCGAGTCTGAAATTTGGGGTATAGGGGTAGCTCGGACCGGGGAGTAACATAGGCCAGGTGGCGTTAGTCTACCACTTCTGGTTTCGGAGTTATGACCCCCGAGCGAAGCCGGGTATCCTGCTAGTGATCTGATAAAGATAAATGGCAGATTTTGGGTTGGTTTTTTTTTTTAAACGGAGACTTTTGTGTAACTAGATATAAGACCTAGGTCCATATTTTGATTTTACCCCCCATGGACTTTTGTCAGGTATCATTGCAAATATGATTTGTTGAAGCAATTGTTTTTAATCAGTTTGATACAGATTTCTAGATTTTCATATAAATGGTCTGGAAATAGACAATTTTCTTGCCTATTTAAATCCCTGGTGGAAGAAGGAATTACAGACAAAATGGTGATATTTATCTTTCATAGACCATCCAAGAATGTCGTTCTTTTTATGAATGACAATTCATTTTAATAATATACCAATATAAAATTCAAACTTTGGACAGGTCATGTTGTTTTTGTCTAGTATATTAAGGTTTTGGTGCCAATGGTCTTTTAGTATATGATATAGTAGGGGAGTTTAAAATGTTGAATGTCAACAAATAGTCATATGTTCTACATATTTGACAGTACCAACATACCAACTGGTGAGAAAATCACTGTCTCAGATAGTTCATCCACAACTAAACAACGATTTCAACAGTAGATAAACTTCAAACGCCACCATAAATAAATCATCCCACTTTCTTCAAAGACTAGCAAAACAAGAGATGATAGATTTATAAATATTTATTGGTCAATTAGAGTGGACAGTAAATGACCACCATATGATGATATATGTTAAGAAATGACCAACAGGTTGCTTGTGGTATATGATGTTTTAGTACTGGAAATCTTTAACGTATTTGGGATTTTGCAGGGTGACCTGGGAGCTGGTCTTAACTTAACATGAATATGCATATTACCCCTCCACATAATTTATTTAAATATTTACTTGATGCATTATTTTAAAGTCCATTTATTTATAATCATTCATTATTATATAATATTTCAAATACATAAAGTTTTTTTAAGCTAATAAACTGACTGTACAAATCCTGACAAAGTTAACAAATTATTCTTGGGGGTGGAATTGGACAAAAGAATCTTAAATTGTTATTCACAGCTTGTATCCACACTAAAATGAACTATAATTGATTATTCAAGAAAACAAATAAAAATGGTAGACGGTCTCCTAGCTTTGATTCAGTTAAATTAGAGGCACATCAAAAGGTGGTGCTGCCTTGTTTATATCATTTGTAGGATGTTGAATGTTGCAAAAGTTTCAGATATTTGCAAGTACACTGAATGGAATTGAGCCATTTTAGACTGATATTCCTTTCTTAAGATTTAACTTTCACAATGTTTTAATTTGCAAGGGATTCAAAATTCCTATGATAATTAGCAATCTGTGGCTTTGAAGGAATTGACATTAATAGTGTATAATGTATGTATTGTGGTACAATGTAGTACCAGTAGTTGTGGTATATAGGGTACAGTTAGATTAACAAGTAGAGTTTGATGAGATATTGAAGGAAAACTAATTAACAACTGATATATTGTTGTTCAACCTGTGTTAGACTTGCTTCAGTAAACTCCATAGTAAAGAAAATACATTATGCCTCTGAGCTGGACCATCGAAACTGATAACTTCTTCTTTTATGACTTTTCCACTTGGCTTTGTTATGTTTTTGGGCTGCCGTTGTTATGGAAGGTTATTTTTTATGTTCTAACTTAGAGGGGGGTGTGATGAATACCAGATTAACAGAACTAACCAGATGAGTTTAAAAACTAGTTAAATATTACTTATCTTTTAAAAACCATATGTAAAAGATGTTTACATCCCCCTCCCTGCTAGTTCTCGCCTGACCCCCAGTTTAAACAATACAAGATTTATAGCTTTGTTCTCTGCTATCTACATTTTAGTCAATCTTCCAGAAAATGGGAAACCATTATCAGTTAGTCATTATAGTACTCAGTTCAAAAGCTAAATATGCTTAGATATTTTTTCTGTTGATTTTTTAAACTGATACACTGTTGTGGTTGACTGACCAGTGCTATTAACCCTAAATAGTAAAGTTTATTTTTGCAGATGTTATCACCCATAAAAAAGGTCATAGTCTGAAGTATGTGTTATATTAAGTACTACAAGATAACTTTTTTGCCAAATTTTCAGAATTCTTGGTGTATTGGTAGTAGGACATATATTGGTAATAAACTTTTTCTGTCTCTGTTATTTGGCAACACAAATGAAATCATCTGCAGAACAGAAAAAAAATAATATAATAGAAGAATATATTTTTGGTAAGATTGGCAAGAAATTAACAAAAGATAAGGGTTGATGCAATAATCTTTTTACCATATTTCACGTGCCAGATTATGTATGTGGTGTATGATAAAGCTTTAGTGTAAAATTCATGTATCTGTTGTTTAAACAGCTTCATTGGTATGATCAAAAGTGTGACACTTTGTAATAGGTTAGCTCACTCACTACGTTATGCAGATAACCCCATTTTCCCATACAATCATGTCATCATTCGCTAGAGATATATGCTTTAATTAATACTGCTTATCAAGTTAATTATTAATTCTTACTTTCATCCTAATTTTGTTTTAATTTCTGTTTTAACCATATGATCTAGCTGTACCTTTTGCACAGAAATGGATTGTCCTGTCTAGATTTGGGCAAAACTATGCAATTGGTTGCTAATGAAAATATAGTCTCCTTTCTCTAGCTTGGAATGATGGTAAGTCATGCCATTAGGTATTAAGGGTAATGTTAATTATTATTGAAAATTTCGTCAAGGATCTGATTGTCGATTTTGATAGAAAGACCAGAACTGATCAAATTGGTACACTTACATGTATCATGAGATAACAGAATTATTCATATGATATGATCATACAACTAATATCAAACAAAATCCACTGTTCGAATAACAATAGTTAGCTTCTTTCTGATCTAGTTATCCAATATACATGCACATAAATGCAGTGTAGAAAATAATGTTCTCTTTCATCTCCTACAATGTCCATACGACATGAAAATCCCCTGAAATATTTGGCAGGAATGTAAAGTTATGAGTTTTGTAACACTTTATAAATCTATGGATCACATAAGAGATTCTGTGAAGTAACAATATAACATATGGTTTTATTATTTATTTAAATATAACCACAGCAGGATATCAAACATAGAATAACATTTTATGTGCTCACATTATTTCTTGGAATTTTAAATAGAACAGAATAATAGCATGTATTCATATATTTTTTTCATACTTTACTTAATAATTGATATTTCAGACATTAGTCTGTAGTCTGTAGGTAGACTCTAACTTTTGCATCAAATTGGATTATCTGTAAAGAAGATAGTTTGAGCCTTTGAGGTTGCAAGTACTGCCAATAGACAATACTGTAAGAACATTCCAAATGCCACCTGGGGCCATGCCATTACAACTGGAATTGATTATATTACTTTTACTCTTTTTTTTTTAATGTATTCACGCAAGCTGTTGTCTTCAAAGGAAACTCTACTAATATCTGGTGTTAAGTTTTAATTTCACATTTAGATATGATATTGCAGAACTCTATGTGCCAAACTTGACTAGACAAGATTCTTCAAGGTTATTTAACAGTTGTATTTGTCACAGAACCAGATAGATGACATTTCCAGATTCAAATTCCCAAAATAAAGTGGCTTCAAGCCACTTCAAGTGAATTTAGATTTGACATTGTAATGCAGAAGCATGGATTTCGATAAGAAACCATCTGTAAACAAATTGAAAATTTGGCTAGATTTTGGGCAGAGAAATTCCAGACATCAATTGTTTTACATTTATCATTGTTGTGAGCAGTAAACAGACGATAATTGTTATATATTGTGTTGAAAGCCTTATTATCTTAATAATGTCACTGTATTCTTCTAATAACAATTAAACTAATATTATGTAGTGGATATTAACAGCCATCTGTTTTAAACCATGTGAAAAGCAGCTTAAGTTGTTGTTAACTTGGTGTTTTTATTAGCCCTTGTATTTCTCAAAGTCATTTCTCGTGAGAGCAGACGTTCTCTGACTAGGAGAAATTTTAGCTCAGGTTTTGTAATTAATAGTAAAAAGTCTTGGGAACAGTTTGAATAAAAACTGGTCTTCACAGCTGGATGGCGCTAGTTTTTATGTTGTAATACTTATACAAGTGTCACGAACTTAAGATTAAATTCTTTCCTAAGGTTTTATATCTGATGCCATCAGTTTAGAGATCTCTTATTCCAAGTGGTGTATGGTGTTGTCAATTTCTGTCTTGAGTATCAATAATAATAGGTATGTCAGTCATGTACAAAAAATAGTTGCTTTGATCTTAGGAAGATTTCTATGGTTCGTGTCATCCCTTTGAAGTTGGGTTTAAAAAGATGATAAATGTAGACAACAAATTAAAATGAAAAATGGAATTTACTTTCATAAAAAAAAATAATTCAGATTAAGATCAACTAACCTTACTTATGTATGCATAATTATTCTAGTCTAGGGTTAGTTGTGCTTATATGGCTGACACTAAACTAATTCCAAAATCAAATATTTTAGAAATTGAATTTTATGTAATTTGGTGACCTTAGTCGTGAAAAATTGTAATTATATAGATATCAGATCAATTTGTGTTATGTATCATGATGCTGGGTTTTATATTCCTATGGTTGTTTGTAACATATAACAGGCTTACTGGTAAACACAACAATGGAAGCCAATAAGTGATGTGGTCAGTAATTGTTTGCCATAATAATAATCCTTAATTTTTCTTGAAAAAAAACCTCCTGAACTCAAAGTCTCTGATATTAGATAATCATCAGAATAAACAATCAAAAGTTGGTTTACAATATTACATAGCATGGTTATTACCCCTAGAAGATAACATTTCAATTCACAGGTCATTGTATACTCCAGATTAAATCTTGTGTTTGGCAGACTGCTTGAAGATTAATGCAAATTTTATGAGTGTTTATGTGTTATCAGGACTTGATGTGGTGCACTCCTACAGACATAAAAACAGATGTAATTATATGATATTACATGATAGTATGATCCTGTGACTTTTACACCATAGATAACTCAGCTTAAAAATATGTATATCTCCCGCTAAAATATAAATATTTAAGAACTTTTTGGTCCCATTCAGCAGCCCATAAATCCTGGAGTAAATTATAAATATATGATTGTAAAGAGTATTTTATGTCAGTGATAAAAGTGAAGTAAATTTATGTAATATCCTCTGGACAAATGAATTGTCAGAGTAGATGTTGAAAGATTCTCACAATATTTTGTTAGCAGTGTATAAAACTTTGAAATTAAGGAACAGATTATGACTACCAAATAATACCAGTAGGCTGAACAACTGAATTATAATACCTGTGGGCAGAACAATATAACTCATCAACCAAATTATAATACCAAAAGGCAGAACTATGTGACTAATTAACCACACTATAATACAACTTCTTTAAGTGGCATTTAGTAATTGAACAGTAACACACTAACACTATTTTATGGAATAACAATCACTGCTTTATAGATATGTAATTAATTATGGCTTCGGTACATTGTAACCACTTAGGGTTTTATCATCATCGCTTTGATCAGTGCTAGTTATATATACGGTCTATATTTATGGCTTCTTTTTGTACTGTATATAAATACTTTATGTTTTACATATATCACCTCGGTGGAAGCGGACGTAAAATACAACTAACACTAACTAACTACATATATGTTATCATTTGCTTGATAAAGACGAGAGTATCATCGTCGAAACGTTGCATGTTAATAAACCAGTGATTGTTATTCCATAAAATAGTGTTAGTTTGTTACTATAATACAAGTGGGCAGAACTGTATACCTGACTAATTAACCAAATTATAATACCAGTGGACAGACTTACAAGACCAATTGACAAAATTATAAAAATCTGGGTTCAGAACTATCGAAGCTCAAATAAGATATTAAACCAATGGACAAAATTACTCTGGTGAATTAACTTAATTAACTTATAACAACAGGGCAGTACTGAAAGACAAATGGTATAATTATAAAACCTATGGACAGAACTACAAGACCAGTTTACATAATCATGAAACCAATGGACATAATTGTAAGACCAATGGACAGAAGAGTAAGGGAAATTGATATGACCTTGAGATAAGTGGACAAAACTGGAAGATGAACAAGACATAGTGACCTTAAAACACTGACTAATAAAAAGGACGAAATGAACCACATGTATTCTAATCAGTTATTTATTAGACAAAATTCAGTGAAATAAATTTTGGTAGGACTGGATCAAAGATTGTTTTAGTGACTAGCTTTGTAACCCTATACAAAGGAATCCTCCCTAAATTTCACAGGATGGTGAAATAAATTGTGTTTGTATTAGATAAGTAGAAGTAAATTGTTTACTCTATTGGAACTGTGAGAAAAATGGTAGTTTAGGAGATAAAGGGTTAATTCCTGTTAGAATATTGTTTACAGGATTTAAGTGCTAGTTCCTTTAGTGCAATGTTAAGTCACCTAATAGTGTGTAGAAACCAGGTCTCACATGGGACAGATGAGAAACATGACACCATCTCAGCAAACAGTCTGTCATAACTAGATATTTTCTAAGAAATCTCCCTGTTAAAATTGTTGTTGATTTTAATCTGATAAAGCTGATTTTCCCATGACTCCATTTATGCTTTAAAAAATGATTCTTAAGAAGAAAAATATTTACTAACCTCGGAAGTTTTTATTCAAATGTTTAGGAAAGTCGCAAATGTAACTCGATTTCAAATGTATAAATTTTCCATTTGGTTTGTGTAACAGTATCAAGGATTTTATTTTGAGAACACCCAGTTTCTGTGAAGTGTTGATTGTCACTCATATGTTGTTGAGATGTTGATACATACCATGTGAATTATTTATACAAAACTTTTGATCTCTTTGCCATGGATTCAGTAAATTACAATCTGCAAGAAACCATACATGCATGCATTAAATCACCCCGAGGAATTCGGTTAAATAATATCTAGGTCCAGATTGGGGATGGTTTTTAGGGACTGCAGTTCAGTACAGTAGTCGACAACCACTTGACACAACTCAGAAAAGATTTTTTTTATGGTGACTTTGTTCACACCAACTCCTTTGGAAATGTTTCAGATTTTCCTTTTAAATGATGCTGACCAGATAACATGAAAGAGATAATATTGGGTGTGTCAAGTTTAATATTGGCAACACCTCAATTTAGTGCAGATGGGAGAATATGCATCTGCATCTTTGGAAAAGAACAGTTTCTGGCAAAAGTAAGCATAAAGACCCATATGCATTTTCCCTCTTCACTATTTCACTCAGCATTGTCCCAATTTATTAATTTGTGTTTTCAATGTTTTCCAGTTTTGTTATTTTACATATGGTACAAAAGATGTTCTGGAGAGAGAATGTAAAGATCTCCATAAAAAAATACAGGTAGGTACATAATCAGAGTGCATAATACTTATATTGGTCAGTTTGTATATTTTCTTCTTCAAATTCAAACTAACACTTACTAGCGGGACCGTCTCAATAAAATGAGATTGAGTCCATGGGAATTAAACTAATGTAACAGAATTCAATCATAATGTTAAAAAAAAATCCAGAAGTAACATCAAAAGTAATCTAACATCTATACAATGATAACTTATTACATCTTCTATAAATAAATCTATATTTAAAATAAGTGTATTCACATTTAAATAAACATTCCCAGCAATAGAGTTGTAGTAGAACATGTTTGATAGATTTATCAACATGGCTTGAAGACTTTCAGCAGCTGCTAAATTAATTTATGAATGTAATAGTTGATTATATCTGTTTATACTACACATATTAAACATAATCCACTTTCAAGTTTTGAACAGGACTCGAAACTTAAAATCTTTTGTCAATAAATGGAGAAACATGAAATAATAAATGAAAATAAAATTTACTGCCAGCAGTCATAAAGCATAAAAAATTCAAAAGACAATTAGTTTAAAGGAGATAAATCTCCCTTTTTTTCCAACTAGAAATGGACACAAATGGATCACAACGCATACAATAATGTAATGTAAATGTATGTAAACTGATTTACATTCAATCGTTTCTGTTTTTACTGTAATTTTAATCAGTTAATGTTTGGCAAAATACGTGAAGAGTCCAAATTGAATGTTAGTCTTTGGCATCTGGTTATTCCAGTCAGCACTGGTAGTATTCTCCTGTGGGATATGTTTAGCTTCGTTCATCGAGTCACTTCATTACAAATGGTGCTCGAAAGCATTCTAGCACACGATTCGTGTGCCAATTTTAAAATTTTCATTTTGTCTTAAATGTTGGATATCAGAAGCCCATCTTTTCCCGGTAAAATCACAGAATCAATGTTGATTTAAATTGACCAATAAGTTGTGTTTGCAATGTCGAAGACTGGGGATGATTTTGAGTTAGCAACTAGTTTCCTTTATTAACATGTTTAAAAGGGATCTTGAAGTCGTAGACTGGAAAAAAAACTGCTCAAGACTGAAAAGAGGGATCATTTCCAGTAGATATGTCCGTTTGTTGGGGGGGGGGGGTAAACTTTGAAAGGGAATTTTAAAGTTAAAATCAGTCATATAATTACATTAACGGGTAAAACAATCCACAAAACTAATTTTTAATCATCTTCACAATATATCTGAATGCTTGCTAGTTGCTATGTCTTCACTTTCACAGATATTTATGTAATTCAATTAGAAACTTACCACCATGATGTCTTATTCAGATAGTGTATGCTCATTTTCCATATAGCCTATTACTGTTGTTTGTATAAGGTATTTCTTTATTGTGATTTAATCAATAAAATCAGTTCAAATACAAGTATAGTCAAATTATTGATAAAATATGTTCAAATAAATGAACTAGCTAAATTAAGGATTTGAATCAGCAGGTTGTGATGTGGGATCTCAGGGGCTATTGCACTAATTCACAGTATTCTAGTACCGTTTTTCATGTTTTTTAATTTTCTGTCAAATCTTGTAATTTAACATTACGCATCTGTAATACTTGTTGAGCCATCTATACATTTTAAAGAAATATACTTGTCTTAAATCAGACAGATTCTTAGGATAATCACAGAATAATATACATAAAAATAATTTATATGAAACTCTGCCCATTAAATTTAAATTTTATAATCTGCATTATGCAGACTGGTAAACATTCTCATGGTATAAATGTGATTAAAAAGGTGACCTGTGCCTTGAGACATCTGGAATAATGAATAATTTTATTTAAGACATTAAAACCATATGGAATAGGAAACCATTTTACTTTGAAATCATGTGGTTAAAAGGTGCATTCTGGTTAGTTTGTAATTGATGTTCTTATGAGCTAAGACATTCAGGGAGGTTTTTCTTAAGTTAGTATAAACGCCATGTTTTGTATTTATTTTTTTTATGCTGTTGATTTAATCAATGGATTGCCACTCTAAATTGTTACAAAGTTTGGAATAGTTATTTTATATTTCATTCAAAATTTGTGATCTGAAATACATGACAATCTTTCATAAACATATTCAGTCCACTGAAAAAAATATATTCTTACCAAAGCAATATCTCTTTTGTTATTGACAATCTACTAATTTTAATGTGACTGCAATTATACTTGTAAGACTATAATAAATGGATGAGTCAAGGTGTTTCTTGGTAATATGTGAGTAATGCACATTCAAAGATAGCAATGTCAGGCTCAGTGCTCGGTACTGTCTAATGATTAATTTACATGTATTTAATTTATTCTGCATGTATTATATAGTTTGAGTCTATAATTCAATTTGTCCTGGTCATTAGAAATATACTTGCAGATAATAATAAATTAGAGGGTTGCAGGGGCGGATCCAGAGGGGTGGGGGGGGACGGCCAACCCCCACCCCCCCTGCTCAGTTACATAATTTTTTATACGCCCACATTTTCATGTGGACATATTATGCCGTCGCCCCTGTCCGTCCGGACGTCGATATTGGCATGTATCGGATCGAAACTTCATGGATTATGGCCCCTGATTGTACGAAAAATCACGTTTTTAGCTTGTGGACCCTATAGTGGTCACAATTTTTATCCGATTTTGTTGAAACTTGAAATGTAAGTTTATAACCCAAAGATCTCGGTTCCTTTCGATATTTGCGTGTATCAGACTGTAACTCCCTAAATTATGGCCCCTGATTGTACGAAAAATCAGGTTTTTAGCTTGTGGACCCTATAGAGGTCATAATTTTTATCTGATTTAAAAAAACGTATTATTATATCACCGTTACACCCTAAGGATGGCTGAGTTCGAATTTCATGAAAATCGGCCCAAAATTGACAGACAAAATGGCCGCCGTTCATTCTCAAATAGCGTAAAAATATGGTATATCAAGGTTGTGGACACCCTAAGGACGGTTGAGTTCGAATTTCATGAAAATCGCCCCAAAATTGACAGACAAAATGGCTGCCGTTCATTCTCAAATAGCGTAGAAATATGGTATATCAAGGTTGTGGACCCTATAGAGGTCACAATTTTTATCCAATTTTGTTGAAACTTGAAATGTAAGTTTAAAACCCAAAGATCTCGGTTCCTTTCGATATTCGCGCATATCGGACCGTAACTTCCTAAATTATGGCCCCTGATTGTACGCAAAATCACGTTTTTAGCTTGTGGGACCCTATAGAGGTCATAATTTTTTTCCGATTTAAAAAAACGTATTATTATATCGCCGTTACACCCTAAGGAAGGTTGAGTTCAACAGACAAAATGGCCGCTGTTCGTTCTCAAATAGCGTAAAAATATGGTATATCAAGGTTGTGGACCCTATAGAGGTCACAATTTTTATCCGATTTTGTTGAAACTTGAAATGTAAGTTTATAACCCAAAGAACTAGGTTCCTTTCGATATTTGCGCATATCAGACCGTAACTTCCTGAATTATGGCCCCCAATTTTGTTGAAACTTGAAATGTAAGTTTATAACACAAAGATCTTGGTTCCTTTCGATTTTTGCTCATATCGAATTGTAATTTCCTGAATTATGGCCCTTGATTGTATCAAAAATCGCGTTTTTAGCTTGTGGACCCTATAGAGGTCATAATTTTTATCCGATTTAAAAAAACATATTATTATATCACCGTTACACCCTAAGGACCACTGAGTTTGAATTTCGTGAAAATCAGCCCAAAACTGACAGATAAAATGTCCGCCCTTCGTTCTCAAATAGCGTAAAAATAGGGTATATCAAAGTTGTGGACCCTATAGAAGTCACAATTTTTATCCGATTTTGTTGAAACTTGAAATGTAAGTTTATAACCCAAAGATCTCGGTTCCTTTCGATATTTGCGCATATCGGATTGTAATTTCCTGAATTATGGCCCTTGATTGTAGGAAAAATCACTTTCTTCTTAGCTTGTTCTCTATACATCTCTCGTTTTTGTAAATCAACACTTTTTATGAGGAAAGTTTCTCGACTGTGTGCTTTATCCTTTATCGTCAGATGTTGGACAGGATGGGCACCCAAAGCACGAGATAATGATATAGACATTATGTGATATCACAATTAATGCTTTGCATCCATGAAATTGAATCACAATGTCATTGTATTAATTCATAATAAAAACTGACGTCAAGCGAGGTGTTGAATTTCTCTGTTTAAAAAGCCCAATGATGTATATGCGCCAAAATGACGATAGAGACCATGCAGGAAGGGGGGGAGATACATTGTCTCAGGAACCTGGCAACACACCACCCCCCCCCCCCCCGCAAAATTTCCTGGATCTGCCCCTGGGTTGAGCAGGTGACCAAGCTATGCTCAAGGAAACATTATTGTTTAAGAAACTGAAATTGACATTAATAGTTTGCATATATCTTACACAATACAACGGACACCAAGTAACTGAAATCAATGAATTAAAGTTTTGCTTTTTTCTTTTCAAATTGTCTACTGGTTTTGCTCAGGGCTCCATTCTTGGACCAATTCTATTTATTATCTTCACTAAAACATTTTCAGCCATTGCTTAAAAGTTTGGTGCCATTAATCTTTATGATGCAATGAGTATGTATTAGCTAATTGAAATGATGAATTAAATATTTATGTTATTATTGCAGGTGGAGTTGGATGGGAAGCTGATAGATTTACCAGAAATAGAAGGATTAGTTATATTAAATATATCAAGTTGGGGTGGTGGTGTCCGTCCATGGCAACTTTCACCAGATGAAGAAGATTTCAAACCTGTCAGGTAATTTAAACATTGTGATATCACATGACGAATATCTCTGGCAGTTAATGTTACAACATATTGTCAAGAATTCATAATATGGAGAATTATTTTTACTTGCTGACTATGTTTTGGATTTATTGTTGGGACATTTTGTGCATTATTAGGTTTTTGTGTATTAGGTTTTTTGCATTGTCACGTTCCTATGCAGTTATTTATTAGTGATTCTTATACATTATCAAGTAATAGTTAAACTTTAGCCAGCTGTAATTAGCTTAAGGTATTATTTATCTAACAGCCTTTAAGAATAATGTTGTATCAATCACTGTAGAATGGGGTTTAGTTTTGAGTTAAAGACTATTATCTTGGGACTATTTTTCTTTTATGTTCTGTTAAGCTTAGGTAATTGAGTACTGGTAACATGAAATGTATCATGAGCACAGGTACAAGTACTTTAAATTCTGGTGTTGTTAAGTTTTAAATTACTGATATCTGTCATGTTGGAGTAATAAATTATGTAGTTTGTATAGTTAAAATAGAGTGGGGTAGAGACTGTGTTTAAATTGATGTTTATAATTGATTGAAGATTCATCATGAAGTAATCAGACAATGTTTAAGTTATGCTGGTATACAAATGTCTTGTGTCATCAGTATTATACCAGAACACTTAAAACTTCTTGACATGTTTACATGTACATCCTCCTCCATTCTCCCATTTATAATTTTATAAAATTAAACAATGGATTTCTCAATTTGTGTGGCATCCGGTTTCAAAGCTAAATGAACAGTAAATTATTACGATTTAAAAATGTAATTAGTTTAGATGGAGAAAAAAAAATACTTCCACAAATGTAGTTTGTTTAGCTGGACAAAATAAATGAGGGAAATATGTATTGTTAATTGGGAATTTATAATGATATTGAAGATCATTGACGATAATTAAAGAGGTCTGAAGATGTTTTAAATCCGTAGTCTGCTAAAAGACTGTTGTCTTTACAAATTTCTCTTGAGCATTTATCAGAACCAAATCCAAAGTAACACGTGGACAATTTGGTGCCAGGAAGATAAATTCTGTTCATGATTTTCTTTTTGTGCACTCAAGAACATTTGGTTATAAATTCTTCTATCTTTGCAAAAGATAATAAGTGGACACTCCTCCTGACAAAAACTCCAAGCCAGCTTTTACAGGTTCTGTTTACAATATATGACATGACTCAGATGAAAGTGCTAACAACATATATCTTTGTGTATTTTTTTTGTTTTAACGAGTGGAAAGGTTCAGTATACATTCTGCTGCACCCAGATGATTCACCAGATTAGATTCTTGTACAATTGTTACCATTTGAGGACACCAAACTGTAATAAAAATTCTTCTCTGGGCTGTTTAGGTTATATTTATTTGCATAAAATAAGGCTGTGTTAAGAAATACATTTGTTGATGGTCCTAACCGGACCTGGGAAATAAACCCAACCTGCAGTTTATTTTTCTTAAAATTGGACTAAATTCAACCCAGAATTCATGAGAAACAATGTAAAACTTTATTTATGGCTCGTATCATTCAATTAACAATGTCTACTACATGTAGTGCCAGATAATTAATTTTGATTATTGATTGATACAACTTAAATTTAATCACAAAATTCTAATTTCTGGCTTTGACACATTTAAATATTCTATTATATTAAAAATTTCAAACACGATCTAATTTTCACATGTGCAAATCTAGATTTTATAAAGCCATCATCAAGGATCAAGAAGAACCCTGACATCCATGATTTAATATACTTACAGTTATAGATAAAATATATGTAATATAAGAATGAAGATTAGGCATAAGATGGTAGATAAGATTAATTTATGTGTTAAAAAACAGGCAGATACTTGACATAACCTAACAATTTATTACACTTCTTTAATGAGATAATTTTTAAGTGCCCTTATTAGCAATTTTCCCCTTTCTTATCTTGTGAAAATTTATTTGACATTTTAATGAAAGTTGACAAGAGCTTATAATTAGTGATCAACTGTGGTGCAAATAATATTCCTGTAAGCATGAGGTTTTAATTTTAAAAAAATATATATATATTTTGTTGGCTTCATTGTCAAACAAATGAAAATGAAATGAGGTTCAACATCCTACTTTTCTGCACCAACTGGGATAATGATGACACCAAGCGTATACAATGTGCTATGAGAGAAATTTTGCCCTGACAGTGGCATTGCGGCCTACTCTTTGTTTCAAATTCCAACTGCAAGTGGTTCTTTTACATGCATGTCAAGGTGTACACAGTACCAAGGCTTTTCATCCCATCCGAATAACTAGACAATGTCCTATTTAGACCTTTCCATCCTGCACCACAGACAAGGAGAAACTCTGCCAGAAAATCCTAAGGAACTTTTCTCGGCCAACATCTGAAGGGAACTCAAGACCTCTTACTCACTTTAGTGGGGGGGGGCACGTTGGCTAAGGGGGCAAGATCTTCAATCCCTGCATTGGCAAAATTTTCATCATAGCGCACTGTATGGTGTATGCCCGTCTTCATTAGCCCAGTTCGGAGCAGAACTCCATTTCATTTCATTTCTTACTCACTGAGTCACACAAACAACTACCCTTTGTATTATGAGAGTGTGTCTTGAATCTGAGAATTACATTTTATTTCAAAATTTTATTGCAAACAAATAGACATCAATGCAAGGAGTCTCCTAAATGGTGACACGGTATGGCATTTAATCAACCAGATTCTAGTGCAGTAGAGAATGTTGATGTTACCTTTGCAATTTATGCACATGCAACAATAAGACCTTAGATAAATTTCAAACATTTTATTTTAGCCCACATTTAAATTATGATTCTAAAGGGAAAATGAAAACAATATTGTCTACATTTAGTTATTATTGCTTTCAGGTGTTGTTGAGTTTTTATAGTGTATGTGCATCATTACATATTACATTTACATATGGTTATGATGTAAATTGTAGAATTGTTGGGATTATGACATCAGTGAACAGTTAATGTTAAAACTAGGGTGGCTAACAGACATGTGTTGTAGTAATCCAAGTCAACAATTTCTAGGCGCAATGACCGAGTGTTGTAAATGTTTATTTGAATTCAATCCTTCATTGGATTTTGTTGAATAATGTGAAAATAAACTTGAGTGATAAAATAACTAAACAAGAGATTAATTGTCACCATGTTTCTATAAAAAATAACATTGACTGTGGTAGGCAATCAAGATAACACTCAATTATTACAGTATGTTAGTTTTAGTACAGATTACAACTAGTTTGATGAAATGTTTTAACTGCAATGGTAATGATGCTGACAAATTGAAATTGAAAGAATTTATTACAATAGTGTAAAGCTTTTACTAGCAAACATTAAAATTTTACAGATTCACAAAGTGAAATTATCCCCAAATTTATTGTAAAGACTATTATTACATTACAATTAAATTATCTGACTAAATTACTTTATTTTGAGCGAAGTTAACAATTGTTGTAGTTTTGACAAGATGTGTGCATCGATTGTAACCACCATACTAGTCATTTGAGTCTTAGCCTCACTTCTCCATTTTTAAATTAAATCATGAAATGGCCAACTGCTCTAATCTACTTAAAATCAAAGCTATCTGATGGCATTGAGGGTTGATTATGGTCTTGTCATGTTAATAAATGTCTAATTAATAATTTATAGACCTGTAATAGGCAGATTTAGCTCTTACATAATGCCTGTTTAAATTAGTTAGGATGGATGGATTTGAATATCATTTTTGAACCAATATTTTATTTAGTAAGAAGACTTTTAATTTGTTGTCTATCTACTGGGCTATAACAATTAACAGAGTGGGGAACAAGCTTTTTTTTCTCATTTGAGTTTTAAGAAATATCATAACAGTCCAGTAGCTGTCATTGCATATCTTGCCACCTTTGCTCCATCAAAAAGCAATTTAGAGAAATACCCCACAGTTTCATTTATTTCAGAACTGACAGTTACAGATCATCCAGTTATTTCATTCACATTACATAATTTAAAAGTGAAAGGTTATATATATTTTACCAGCAGAAAATATGATGGATAAATTACCAATCACATCTACTGACAGTCTGACACAAACAATACTGACACATCACCTCTTTTTTGAGGAACCGAATCCAACAAGAACTTTGTATAATTAATGCCAATTCGTTATGGATGGGGAATTAATTCTACTTTAGACTGTGATATTACAGTGACAGTGATGATATTTTGTTATGAATTTTCCTCATTTTTGCATTATGTGATTTTTATTTGTGATTTTATGCTAACATTTTTGTGTACACTAAATATTGGTATCTACACTGTCTATTTTTTTAAAACTTTTATGTTGTTAATAACTGTCCTCTCTTCAGCAATGTGTAAAAAATACATTAGACTATTGACTAGAAATGAACTTAGCTTAACACTCTAGTTGGTTAGTCCCCCAACTGCCAAATAAGCAGTCCCACGATCTATGCGCCTGACCAAATTTAGAGTACATTTAGACCTTTTTTTCTTGAAACTGAGGGAGGGGTGGTGGCTGAATGGTTTAACATGTGCGCATTCAATTGAATCAATTGACGTGGTTTTGATTCGAAGGGTGTACGTGACAAGGAGTCCAACCTCATGTATTTTACTCTGGGTTGACGCTTTGGGACACGATAACTTTGGTTTTGATTAAGTGAGAGTGATGAAACTCTGAGTATAGATTCATTTCATTACCTTAACTTAGTTTGATGATGAGAATTTTCTGGTTAAGCTAAAGTACGATAAGCAATGAGATTGGAACATAACAACTCTGCTTTTAAACCGAGAATTTCATATTTTCTAAAAAGGCAAAACATAATTATTTCTTATGTCTTTTGCTCAATAGGTTATCAACTCACTATTATACAATCATAGGCATTATTTCCCACACTTAAAAATCATTGACACAGGAAATAATAACACAATTACCTCCCTTGTTTTCCTATTCCTCCCCCCCCCCCCCATGGAATAGCTATC